GTCGCGGGGGGCGGCGGCGGCAAGAAGCCCCTCCCGCCCAAGGGCTCGGCCGCCGAGTGCAAGCAGTCGCAGCGGAACGCGGCCAACGCCCGAGAGCGCGCCCGGATGCGCGTGCTGAGCAAAGCCTTCTCCCGGCTCAAGACCAGCCTGCCCTGGGTGCCCCCCGACACCAAGCTCTCCAAGCTGGACACCCTGCGGCTGGCCTCCAGCTACATCGCGCACCTGCGGCAGCTGCTGCAGGAGGACCGCTACGAGAACGGCTACGTGCACCCGGTGAACCTGGTAGGAGCGCCGCGCTCGAGGCCCGGGGCGCTGGGCCGGGGGGTGCCCGGGGCGCTCCCGGGAGCGGGGCAGAGTCAGCCCGCTGGGAGGAACCCGAAAGAAGGGTTCTGGGGCGGGTGGCGAGGACGCCAGTTCAGCGTCTCCCAAATCACGGGAGGGGCCAGCCATCTTCCTGGAGAACCACCCCCCTCTGTGTTTGCACGATTCTGGTCAGTGTACGTGGTGCTTGGTCCGGGGACTGCTATTGGCTCCTATCCTGCTGACGGGGTGAATCTGGGTTCCTTTGCAGAGTAAATGGCAAATCTCCCTCGTGCAACTTTTTCCAGCTAAGAGTCTGACAGATTTGATTGAACAAGCCCTGCTTTCTGAAAAGAAGGAGGGAAGGCCGAGCCCTGTTAAAAGGCCTTTGGATTTTTTAATTCTTGCAGAATAGCAGAGGTTCCCCCAAAGGGATCTGTCTGGAAAGTCCCTCTCTGACCTGCCAACTCTGAGGACTTGAGAGCAGCGGAGGGCTTATGTGTGTGTGTGTGTGAGTATGTGAGTGTGTGTGTGTGTGTATGTGAGTGTGTGTATGTGAGTGTGTGTGAGTGTGTGTGCGCGCGCGCGCGTGCTCGGGGAAGGGAATTACACGACAAAATCCCAACTCCTCCAAGTTCCACCGCGTGAAGGTGAGGGCACAGTCCCGGAGGACGCATGGATGGGTCCCCTTCACGTCCCACGCAATCAAAATCCAGTAAAATTCAAATTCTAGATTAGAGAGAAGACAGGCACATTTCCAAAAACGCTGATAAAGTCTGAGTTACTCAGAACCAGGAATATCACAGGGTCCACTTTGCTGAGCAGTTTCGGTTTGAGAGCCTCTTACATCTGACGCCCTCTTTGATTTCACAGACGTGGCCGTTTGTGGTCTCGGGACGACCCGACTCTGACACCAAAGACGTTTCCGCCGCGGGCAGACTCTGTGGGACCACCGCCTAGACGGGGCTTGAACTCGCCCATGGATTACTGGTTAAGCGCCTGCGTCTGGGGGCCGCGGAGAGAACGGAGGCTGCGTGAGAACCCCCAGGGAACGGGAAGAAAGTTCCATTGGATTCTCCTAGATACCCCCCCACACTCCGAATTTTGAACACGACAGGTGGCGGGCGCGAGGGGCAGAGGCCGGGGTCGGCGGCGCGGCTGTCCTCGGGGGGCGCGCACGGCGCCTCTTCCCCTCGGCGGAAAGGGCCTCCTTCGGCCCGGCGAGCGCGGACCCACATCCAGAGTCGGGCTTTGGCGGTGTAGACTCGCCCCCACGCTGCCTTCAGAGCCCAGCGCCAAACCGCCTCGGGTCAGTTTCGAGCTGAGCCAGATACGCATGAACTACAGACAGGTGACCGCGCGACCCGGCGCAGCCCGGGCCTCCCGGGCCTCGCGGGTTAGGCAGGTTAGACGCTCTCCCCGTGACCATCGGCCTCAAAGACCGGAGTCTTCACCCACATCGGGCAGGTTTTCAAGTTGCAGAGAGAGAAGAGTGAATCCCTGGTGGGGCTGGTGTCCCATAGGGCAGCGCCCTCCAGGGGGACGGGGCGGGGCGCGCCCGGGGCACCGGCGGCCGTGGTGGCTTCGCCCGGAGCGCTCCGGGCCCCTTGGCCTCCCTGCTGCGGGCAGACCCCGCACTCCTGCAGGTCCCGCCCCTTCCTCCTAGGGGTGAGCCCCCCCACGCACACCAGGCTCCGTCTCCCCCGGGCTTTCCTCCACGCCTTCCTCCCGCAACTCCTTGTAGGGTCCAGCTGGACCCCTGAC